TGTCCGCACCTGCACAAGTGGTTTCCATGGCGGCGTAGTCATGGAACAGAGGCCCGCCTTTTGCTTTCACCATCCTCCCGTCCTTGGTAGATTCATCGTTTGAGGTAATTTTCGTTCTATTTTCCTTCAAATCAGCTACTTTACGTTTTGAAAACGTAAACCGTTCCAACCAACTTGTTTGTTTGGAAAGTTTTGTCCTTGTTCGTTGTTCTGAGTTGTTTACGGAGAAGACGGAAAAGTTTCCCCGCTCAGTCGGCCATCTTGCCGCCTGCTCGCTAGCTCCGAATTCTAGCGTTGTTACATGCTACCGCAGTGTTGCCAACTCCTCAGTAAGGAAAGTAGCTATTGGCTGTCCCAAAAGTCGCTAGAAGTCGCTAAATGACGCCATCGCCTAATTTGCATAATTGGCCATTTGTAAATAACTGTAACGGACGCTGTAGGAGAGAGGAATAACGTCGTGGGAGAGACAAAAGTGAGTAAAAAACACCCTAAATATGTTTAGAACTACAAATGTACAAAAATAATTTCAACATTAACAACATTTATGCTTTGTCTAGATCCACATTACACACATCAGTTTTGTCCTGTATTGTTAAATGTTATAACAGCAAATGTAATCAAAAGATTGTCATGTAGGGTGAAATTGCTAGCTCTACAACCAACCCTCCTCCTTTATCTGGGCGGCGGCTTTTGCGCAAGCGTATTTCATTTGCAGTCCGGACGCCGAGTGGTGAGGGTCTCCTCTCTCTCTCTCTGCTCCGCCCATAGACTGTAGCTGGGACTGATGCGCAAGGCTACTGTGAGACTGGCCGCCTGTAAGTGCTTTGGGACGTGGGGAGGGGCTCACGTTGAGGACAGTAACTGCAGAACAATACATGCTTCACGCCAGAGTCTCCAAAACACCAGATAAGTCTCCAATAACACCAGAAAAAGTCGCTAGATTTGTCGCTAGTCGCTTTTTTGAAAATAAGTCGCTATAGGGGACTGAAAAGTCGCTAAATCTAGCGACAAAGTCGCTAAGTTGGCAACACTGTGCTACCTCTAACATTAGCATTAGCCTTGTTTTTGTTCAGCAGCACTTTGACAGTGTTACATTTTGTTTTGTTTATATTTTGTTGTTTGAATGCACAACTTCAGACTGTTTTTCTCTATGTATTACACATATATATATTTATTATCGTTTTCTTTCAGTATGATGGTGATAGAGCAGCAGCTGGCTGGCGGAGGAGAAAGTGAGTGTGAAAGAGCAAAGAAAGTAGAAAGAAGAATCATATAGAATCTTGGGCCAATGTACATGAAATGTTTGAAAACAGAGTTATTAATGAGTAGTTGGCCTTAGTAAATGTTAAACATTTGTTAATGAGTTGTTCATGTTTTTTTGTATGTACAAATCATGACATCATCATTAGGAAATGAGGAACAGTCCTTACTTTTTAATACTGTTTGGGAAAAGAGTAACTAATGAGTAGTAAACATGAACGTACACTCTGTTCATATGAGAAGGTATAACTAATGTTTTGTAAATGATTTGTTACTATGAGCATTCCATTACCATGAAATATTGTAATAATCCTTTGTAAATGATTATATAATGCAGTGGTTCTCAAACTTTTCACACCAAGTACCCCCTCAGAAAATACTTGCCTCTCCAAGTACCACCACAAATGACCAACACCACACAGTAGCGTAGTAAGCCGAAGTATTCATCAATAACAAGGCAGAGGTTTCATTCCTAAAGAAGTATATTTAATGTAATATTTTACACAGTTTCAACAGTAAGACTGCGCTTAAATATAGGACAAAAAATTGTTTTAAATGTTTCATTCATTGCGAACTGCAAAGCCTCACTGTGAGTGATATTCTGGAGTGGGATCTTTGTCCACAGAAGGTTTGGACACTGGTGCACTTTAGTTTCTAAGGCTTGCTCTGCTGCCCTCTTACATCTGTCGTTTACTCACAGAGACATGTTCTCATGGTTTGGATCAAATGATCGTTTGTTGCTCTCTGTTCCTTTTGCACAGAACTGGGAAAAAAACCTGCTCCTTCTACATGGAACGTGTTGCAAAAAGACTAGAAATGATCTGATCTTATTTCCTTGAATGCTTTTAGATCCAGATTGAGACATCTTCAGTGAAATGTAACTGTTTTTATAATCCGTAATTTTATGAAATTGTGTGTTACTGTTGTATAATCTGTATGTGACTATTTTATCATCTGTATGTGACTGTTTTATCATCTGTAATTTTATGTAATTTTTGTACACGAAAAAGAGGTTCTCATTGACTGCCAGCCATTTTTTGATGACTTCACTGATTTTTAAGACTCACAGAATATTGTGTGCTATGAAAAATATGAAACCAGAGTCTGAAAGACAGGACTGTCTACTTTCAGCAGCAAAAAGAAGTTTGTTCTTAGTTTGTTTCGTTCTCCTGTGATCTCCAGTCGAAAAGAGGAGAGTGTGACAAAAAGCACCAGTCTTAGACAAAAAAAATTAGAAAATGAGGTTTTTGTGAAAACAGACGAACTGCAGAAAAGTGATTGTAAAACTATTTAGTTTAACTTTAGCATCTCCTCAAACATGTCCAGGATCTTACATGTTAGAAAACAGCAACACGTTTTGAGAAAGTGTTTTTAATGTAAAATAATAAGTTTTATGGCACACACACATCCACAAAGTGTTGCTCAAAAATTTCAAAATGTACTCATCCAAAAAATGTCAAAATGTACATATTGAAAGTAGAGCCCATGACAAACTATGCCAGATAGAATGGCCAGTATTCATCCATTAGGTGGCACTATATTTATGTCAATAAGAGTAAATCAAAGAATAACAAAATTACAATGATAAACACTATACATGACAATAAATCAAAGTGAATACTTATACTTATAGTATAAGTGCAACAGAATACTACTGTGTGTCTTTGTGTGTTTGGGCGTGCATGTATGTGCGTTTATGCCAGCGTTTGTGTGTTTTTATGTGGTTACATCTACAGAGCGTCTGTTTAGTCCGGCGTGCGCTGTGACCATATCTGGACTTTGCTGCTGGCTCCTGGTGTGGACTCAGTGATAATTTTAGCAATAGTCCACTTTTCTGTGGCTTTTTTGAGGTGCTCCACTGGTCTGCTGTCCTGACCCTCCACATGGTCTGCTGTCCTGACCCTCCACATGGTCTGCTGCTCTGACCCTCCACATGGTCTGCTGCTAGGACCCTCCACATGGTCTCTGTCAGCTCTGGAGACACATTTACTGCTCAAACTGCCTCCAAATGTAGCCTGACCCTGACTATATTACTCCATGTCTGCTTCACCTCTGTCTCTCCTGCTCAGAGTGCTCAGAGTGATCTTTGACCAAACCAGGGAGTTCTGCTGCCACCTGCTGGCTTAATAAAATACTGTCTACAGCCAAACCCCAGACTGTATGATACAGGGGACACAGACTGACAGGAAAAGATTGAAAAACAATGTTGTACTCAAATGACATCCATGGCTGTCAATGAGTTAATCTCAATGGGACTTTCCTGGTAAAATAAAAATTTTATTTTTATTTTTATTTTTTTTCACAGATTTTTTTTTTTTTCACAGATTCTTTGGCGTACCCCTAGAGGGCGCCCGCGTACCACTAGGGGTACGCGTACCCCAGTTTGAGAAACCCTGATATAATGTCATGATTTATAATTAAATGTCAATAAAACATTTAAAAATGTGTTGTATGTTTTCTGTTTCTGAGTAGTTCATGATATGAATACTTAGTAAATGAGTTGACACTATGTAGATCATGAGTAGTATACTTTTATTATGAAGCTAAAAGCGGAGATTCAGAGTGGAAGACCTGAGAACCCAGCTCTGAGCACTTTCAAACAGGAGTCAATCACACTCAGGCTTAGTGGCTGTGTTGAAGTCAGCCGACCCGCGTCTATCGCGGGATCTGGTCATTGTGGAGTTTTTGGTGGCGTTTGGTGTTTACAGGGACGTTATCTGTTCCGCGTTTCCGTAGGGCTGAATTGAACACCTACCTGGCGCTCATCGGTGACCTCCACCTCAGGTACGGGGGTGGGGTGTTCTACCTGTATCACAAAACATTCGCGATGAAGTCTGCCGCCCTGCTGTCCCGGTCGAATGTCCAGCTGGACTGGTCCGTCCTCGACACAGACACCCTGATACTGGCTGTGGGTGGTGCTCACCCCATTTTGTGCTCGGCATGTGGAGGCCTGGGGCACAACAGCTCGCTCTGCCCGGACGCCCCTTTTCTCGAACTCTCAACGCACGGGCGACCGTCTGCTCCCCCCCTTCCCTTCCCCTGCTCGCCCATCTGACGCCCTTTTTAATCGCAGGGGTCGGAGGGTTGTGTGTTCTCCTGAAGGCGTCCCAATCTGTAATAACTTTAACCGGGATCGGTGCTTGTTCCCGAAATGTGTGTACCTGCACGCATGCAGCGCTTGTATGGGAGTTGGCCATGCAGCGTACGCTTGTGCCTCTCGTACGGTCCGACCTGAAGACCGTCGGAGCTCTCGTGGCCGCCTGGAGCGCTGATGTGGCCTCGTAGCAATGGCTTGTTTTGTTTTGTCTGGGAGGTTGGGCTCCCGCCGCCCTTGTTTAATTAAATATTTTGCATTCATCCTGCTTTCTTTCTTGCAGCATGTTGGTGGTTTTTCAAGGTTGCCTCCTGCCGCACGCTTCAACGCCACGCCGGTGGCCGCTGTTTGACGCCACACCGGTGGCCGCTGTTCAACGCCACGCCGGTGGCCGCTCGCTCAGACGCCCACGCCAGTGGCCGTCTTCTGCCGCATGCTTCAACGCCACGCCGGTGGCCGCTGTTCGACGCCACGCCGGTGGCCGCCTCCTGCCGCATGCCCGACGCCACGCCGGTGGCCGCATGCCCGACGCCACGCCGGTGGCCGCTCACTCCGACGCCACGCCAGTGGCCGCCTTCTGCCGCATGCTTCAACGCCACGCCGGTGGCCGCTGTTCGACGCCACGCCGGTGGCCGCCTCCTGCCGCATGCCCGACGCCACGCCGGTGGCTGCTCGCTCCGACGCCACGCCAGTGGCCGCCTTCTGCCGCACGCTTCAACGCCACGCCGGTGGCCGCTGTTCGACGCCACGCCGGTGGCCACCTCCTGCCGCATGCCCGACGCCACGCCGATGGCCGCACACCACGCCGGTGGCCGCTCGCCCCGTCGCCACGCCGGTGGCCGCAAGCTCAGTCGCCACAAAGGTGGCCGCTCGCTTCAACGCCACGCCGGTGATTTTGACCACGCCGGTGGTCTGCTGCGCCATGCGCCTCATCAATTCTCTCTTCTTCTTTACAGTACGGCTTCGCGCTCTTTACGATGGCTGGCGGGACCACTAGTGGTAGCAAATGAATGAAAGAAAGTCTTGATACAATCACAGATTTATTAAAAACAGAATGTAGTAGTAGGCCCTGTGTGCCCGGTGGCAGCCTATTGCGTGTGGCCTGCTCCCTTTAAAAGGAGGATGGTCCACCTGCACCACCTCTTGATCTTGCTGGTTTATATATAGCTAATAAAACACTTGTTTGATAAAATTTCACTTGGTGATTGGCATAATCCGATCTGTGACTGGGCTGGAATGGCGTCCTTGGCGGACGAGGACGAGGACTTGATGCACTTTAGTCAGGATTTAGGGGGATCGGGTGCGTTTGACAGGGGTAGAAGAGAGGGGGGATTGAGTAGTAGCCAGGTTAGGAAACAGGGATTGGATGGGAATAGTTCAATTAATCAATCAATCAAGGTTTATTTGTATAGCGCCTTTCCTAATCAAGGCAACACAAAGCGCCTCACAACCCACATCATATCCAGCAAATCATAAACATTCAAATCTACATATACATAAAAACACAAGAAATATTAAAAACAGAATAAAAACACAAGAAATATTAAAAACAGAATAAAAACACAAGTAATTAAAAACCTTAAAACATAAAAAACACACACAGGATTAAAATAATAAATAGCCACAATCCACTAAAAAGAGTAAATATAAAATATAAAAAATACAAAATCCTTCACCTGTATGCACAGCTAAACAGAACCGTTTTTGAAACCTGGATTTGAAAACTTCCGGAGTAGATGCCAGCCTCACATCTTCAGGAAGATTGTTCCAGATTTTAGCTGCATAAATCTGGAACGCTGCCTCCCCATGTTTAGTTCTGACTCTTAGAACCAGCAAGAGGCTACCTCCTGTGCTCCTCAGAGTCCGAGTTGGTTCATATGGCACCAACATGTCGCTTAAGTACTTTGGTGCAAGGCCATGGAAAGACTTGTGCACAAGCAGCCATGTCTTGAAGTCTATTCTCTGAGCCACAGGAAGCCTGTGCAAAGACCTGAGAACTGGAGTAATGTAATCATACTTCCTGGTTCTAGTCAGGACTCGAGCTGCTGCATTCTGAATGTACTGCAGCTGTTTTACAGTCTGTTTGGTGAGCCCAGTGAGCAGGCCATTGCAGTAGTCTAACCTACTGGAGACAAATGCGTGGATTAGAATCTCCAGATCTGCTTTAGACACTGTTTTTAATTTTGGCAATGTTTTTCAGATGGTAAAAAGCTGCTGAAGTTACCGATTTGATGTGGCTGTTAAAATGTAAGTCTGAGTCCATAATTACCCCTAGGTTTCTGACCTTACCTAAAGGTTCCAGGGAGAGAGACTGTAGGTGACAAATAACACTCTCTCTTTGTTTCTGGGGACCAAAGACAATGATTCGAAGGAAGTTGTTTTGGATCCATTCGCTGATCTGTTGGATATAGTGAAGGAGTGAGTCCACTGGTCCATGTTCTGTTTCATATGTTGCTTCGCCCTTTAGGCTTCGCTAATGCATATCTCTCCGGAAGCATCGCTTCCCGCCCTGAGAAGATCAAATGATCCACCCTCCAATCACCTTCACGTCCTGGCGTAGGTCTGTCCCTTATAAATAGGGCCATGCACCACAACTCTTCTCCTTTCGAACTCAGCTTGCCTAAGAGAAGCTTCGATTCATTGGAACAAGGATGTCTTCAAGCAATGTCGCCGCACCTGAAGATCTGTCACCCTCCGGTGTCAGGCTGCGGATCTGCGACTCGTGCCCAGCGGCACTCTCCGGGGCTGACCGCCACGAGTCCTACGTCTTCTGCCTGGGCTGGCGTCATGCCGCGGAGGAAAGCCCCAGCTGTGTGGCTTGCCTCGCGCTCCCCAGGGAAGAGCGTGAAAGACGCAACGGGCTACTCAACGCCGCCTGGAGTGATGCCCATGGTGGCCTCTCTCATGGTGTGCCACCCTGCGCCCACACTGCTGCTTCGCCTGGCTCAGCAGAGATGTCAGGCTCTGGATCTGGACCAGGGTCCGACTACGATGAGGGGGGAGTTGGTGGAGCCCTTCGAGGAGGATGCCCAGTCTTCCCAATTCCAGGACATGGGGCAACGCGAGCACTATCCCCTGGATCGTTTCCCGCATCTGACCCGGCGACGCAGACGTGAGGTGGTCGCTCCCAGGATGGAACCGCTGCTGCATTATGTCAGCCATGAGTGGGATAGGCCCATGGCAGCCAAATCCCCGGCCTTGGCGTACGGAGTGTATGCAGGAGTGGACGCATGGCCTAGGCCGTCAGGCGTTCCTCCCATAGAGGACGGAGTGCGTCTGTCTCTGCTTCCAGCTTCATCTCCGTGGTCTGGACTGGCAGCTCCCTCCGAGCGGGACAAGCTGACAATCTCCATGCTGGACAGATGTTATGCCAATGCAACACAGGTCGTGGCTTTGGCGAACAACATGACTCCCCTCGCTGCTTCCCTCGACACTCTCATCCGGGGTCGGGAGGAGCTCTCCCGGACGGAGATCGAGGAAGCTGAGGATACTATGGCCACCTTCCTCCACATGGCGCAGGGCTTAGCGGTGGACGGTGGTAGGTCCATGTGTGCGGCCCAGGTCGCCTGCCGCCATCTCTGGTTGGGCCTGTCACCTCTCAGAGACGCGGATAAGCGGCGCCTTCTGGATCTGCCGCTCTCCTCCTCTTCCTCCCCCCCGCATCGTTCAGAGCCTGGAGGCTCTCTGGGTCCAGTGCGCGGGAGACGGCGAGCTCGTGACCAGCGGAGGAGCGGCAGCCACCCCGGCTCTCCAGCTACAGGGAGGGAAGGGAAATACTTGAATAAAGGCCGCAAGCAGGCCCGTTACTCCCATAAAGAGTCAACTTCTTTCCCTTTTCCTCTCACTCAGCGTTTGGCCAACGCTGCTCCTCTACAGGGCGTCTGGAACCTCTCTCAGCGCGCTGCAAGGTGGCGCGTTGGAGGCAGGCTCCAGGTTTGCTGTGCACTCCCCGTGGTTTTGCCTCCTGTGGGCAGGGAGTGCCCAGCCCTCCTCCCAGGGGGCCCCCACTATCCAGAGCAATAAGTGGGACTGCTCGGCCCCCCCTCAGTCCACAGTGCTGGGGAACGGGGGCTCGGCTCCACGTAAGCGCAGCGTGCCTGCCTTTACACTGCCACCCGGTAAAGGGCCCAGGACCACAGCTAGGGCTCGGCCCTCTTCCCAGGGGCCCCCCACGGTCCAGAGCGATAAGTGGGACTGCTCGGCCCCCCTCAGTCCACAGTGTTGGGGTGCGGGGGCTCGGCTCCACGTAAGCGCAGCGCGCCTGCCCTCACTCTGCCGCCCGGAAAAGGCCCAGGGCCGCAGCTAGGGCTCAGCCCTTTTCCCAGGGGCCCCCCACTATCTGATGCCTCCAAAGGAGGGACATCTGTGGGCGGGCCGGACCTTACTCCCTCCTCCCATCCTGCCGTGCTTCCCTTGACTCGTTTTGTCACCGTATGTGAACAGGCAGGGCTCCTGGGAACACCGTGGATACGCAGAGTGCTGCGTCGGGGCTACGCTCTCCAGTTCTCCCGGCGGCCCCCTCCTTTCTGCGGCATTCTCCAGACAATGCTACGCAGCCCGAAGGACGCCGTGGCGCTTCACAGGGAGGTCAACGCGCTTCGAGTATTGCCGTCTCCCGTTCGCACCTTCTCCAAGTGTGTGGAGGCGGCGCTAGAACCCCTTTGGCGTCAGGGCCTCAGGATACTGACGTATATCGACGACTGGCTGATCCTGGCTTCCTCTCAGGAGGAGGCCCAGGATCACACGTCCAGAGTGATGAACCACGTTGCCCGCCTAGGGTTTGTGATCAATATGGACAAAAGCTCCCTGTGCCCGGCCCAGGTGATTTCGTATCTGGGGCTGGTCTTGAATTCCAGGAGCATGACTGCTTCACTCTCGCCAGAGCGACAAGCGGCGGTTCAGAACCTGGGCCGGATCGTTCTAGGCGAACCTCGGGTCCAACCACAGCAGATCCGGTCACTCTTGGGCATGATGGCAGCGGCCCATCCAGTGGTGAGACTGGGGTTGCTGCACATGCGATATCTCCAGAGGTGGTTCTCACACCTCAGGGCTTTATCACGAAGGGAGCGACTGTCGGTGAGGGCTCAGGACGACGTCGCCTTCTGGCTGTCCCCAGGTCGACTCCAGGAGGGAGTTCGAATGGGTCTGGTGGACCACCACATCGAGGTCTTCACGGACGCCTTACTGAGCAGTTTGGGAGGCGTGCTCTGCCACCACTCGGCAGGAGGCGTTTGGTCCTCCCCCTTGGGGTACATCAACCTCCTGGAGTTGGAGGCGGTGCGGTTAGTGCTGGCCGTTTTTGTGACCAGACTGGAGGGCCAACATGTGATTGTTCGGACGGACAACACAACTGTGGCAGCTTACCTGAACAGGCAGGGGAGGGACCAGGTCCCCCGCCCTTCACAGGCTGGCAGTGGAGGTTCTTCTGTGGGCGAACGTTCACCTAGCCTCTCTGAGGGCCCGTCACATCCCAGGCGAGCGCAACGTGGCCGCCGACAAGATGTGCAGGGGAGGGGCCTTGCGGGACGAGTGGGGTCTCGCCCCAGCGGTCGTGGCACAGGTCTGACTCCGGTTCGGGACACCGGTGGCCGACCTTTTCGCAAATGCAGAGAACGCACAGTGCCCACTCTGGTTCTCGCTCAGGTCCAGCGACGAGCCCCCTCTCGGGATGGACGCCATGGCGCACAGGTCGTGGCCCAACGGTCTTCTCTACGCCTTCCCGCCGTTCCGGCTCTTGGCAGCCCTGCTTTACAGGGTGAGGAGGGAGGGGGTCTCCATCCTGGTGGTGGCGCCCGGACAGCCCGGGAGCCAGGTGGTATCCGGACCTGGTGAGCATGGCGCTCGGTCCGCCTTGGCCCATTCCGGACCGTCCCGATGCTCTGAGACAGGCAGGGGGAGCCCTTTACTCACGCCCTGTCCTGGGACGCAGGCTCCTTGTTTGGAGGCTGAAAGGGGAAACTGTTGAGCCTTGGTCTCCCTCCCTCAGTGGTCGCTACTATTCAGGGTGGGAGGGTTACATCCACCACCAAAGCGTATGAGGTTTGCTTGAAACTCTTCGCCTCTTGGTGCGTGGACAGAGGCCTTGACCCCACCTCGTGTTCCATCCAGGAGGTCTTGGCTTTTCTCCAGTTTTTGCTGGAGATGGGAAGGGCGGCCGCCACTTTGGGTGTGTTCGGGCGGCCATTACCACAGGGCACGTGGGGTTTGGTAGCCACTCTGCGCGTAGCCACCCCTTGGTTAAGCGCTTCCTCCGAGGGGCCCGCAGGATCAGGCCTCCCCTCCGGCGATCAGCTCTGTCTTGGGACCTTCAGGTGGTCTTAGCTGGTCTTTCGGGGCCTCCATTTGAACCCCTGGACAATGCGACCATTGCCTGTTTGTCCTACAAAACGGCATTGTTTTTGGCTTCGGCCAAGAGGTCTGGGGATCTGTGCGCCCTTTCCGTGCTGCCGTCTTGTTTATCCCTCCCCGATCATGAGGGCATGATGGAGTTGTGGCCTAACCCGGCCCTCCAGCCCAAGGTCGTCACGTCATCTTTCAGATCTAGGGTGATCAGGGTGAGACCGTTTTTCCGAAAGGAGGAAGAGCGGCGGCATAGTCTCTGCCCGGTCAGGGCTGTGAGAGGCTATTTGGACCGCACGTCTGACCTCAGACGGTTGGATCAGTTGTTTGTGGGGTTTGGCACCAGGAGTCAGGGTGCCGCTTTGTCTCCACAGCGCTTGGCCCACTGGCTTTGCCTTGCTATCCGTTTGGCGTTGCCGCTTCAGTGGCTTTGTTCCGTGGCACTTCGGTGGAGGAGATCTGCAGAGCGGCGTCTTGGTCCTCCTCCTCGACCTTTGTGCAGTTTTACCTACTAGATGTGGCCTCTGACTCTGTGGCTCATTCGGTTTTGAGTGCAGGGCAGCCCTAGTTCCTCCTTCGACAGACATCGGTGGGGACCGGTCTGCAGGTGGAGGGTTGTGTGGAGAGGTGTTGGCGCTCTTGGGAGAGGCGGCCTGGACACCGCTGCAGTAGGGATAGGCTGAGTTCGAAAGGAGAAGAGTTGTGGTGCATGGCCCTATTTATAGGGGACAGACCTACGCCAGGACGTGAAGGTGATTGGAGGGTGGATCGTTTGATCTTCTCAGGCCGGGATGCGATGCTTCCGGAGAGATATGCAACATATTCATAGAACCTTAGTTACATTAGGGTTTCTCCTGCAGTCAGTGAGACATAGATCGGAGTGTCATCAGCGTAATTGTGGTAGGATACAGTGTATTAACTGACCTAATGGCAGCATGTAAATATTGAACAGAAGAGGCCCCAGGATTGAACCCTGTGGTACTCCACAGGTAAGGGCCATATAATTTGAGATAGTTTCCTATCTCAACCAAGTATTTCCTGTCTTCTAGGTAAGACCCGAACCAACTTAGGGCGGACCCAGAGACACCCACCCAGTGCTCTAGTCTCTGTATAAGGATCTCATGGTCGACTGTGTCGAACGCGGCATTCAGATCCAGCATGACTAAAACTGTAACTTTTCCTGTGTCGGTATTAAGTCGGATGTAATTTGTAACCTTTACTAGAGCAGTCTCAGTTGTTGGTAAGCAACTTTTTCAATATTTTTTCCAGTGAACGGCAGATTCGAAATTGGCCGGTAATTCTCAAGCACCGTGGCATCTAGAATCCTCTTTTTTAAGAGGGTCTGATGACTGCCGTTTTCAGGGCCCTTGGAAATTTTACAGATGAAAAAGACATGTTTACCATTTGCGTGGTAAAAGGTAAAAGACTGCTCAGAACAGACTTAAGAAATTTAGTGGGTAGTACATTCAGGTTACATGTGGAGGAACTCAGACTAGAAATAATCTCTTGGACAGTTTCATTACCTATTGGTGCAAAGTGCAATAGCTCAAGAAGCCTCACTGGCTGTTGTAATGTTATTTGTGTTGTGGAGGTGATGGCGTTTTTGATGCTCTGAACCTTGAAAAAATGTGCAAACTCATTACATTTAGATTCTGAGGTAAATTCTTATGGCAGCTGAACAGGGGGACTGTTGAAAATAGAACACGTAGGTTATTACTACAGCCATCAATAGTTTTAGAAAAATACATTTATCTCGTTTTGCGGTGCACCCTGTGAAACTTGCACAGCTCATTTTTGAAGAACTCATGATCAACCTGGAGATTGGATTTTCGCCACTTCCGCTTGGCCATCCCGCACTCTCTCCCTGACTGAGTCCACTTTAATCCAGGGGGCCTTTTGCTTAATTGTAACCATTTTGACCTTCACAGGAGCTATGGTGTTGCAGAGCATTCAGAACATTGGAAGTGACACAATTAGTTAACAATTTAAGATTAAGAGTTAAACAATTTGTCAACAGTAGAACACAACTAGCCTGGCCTTAGCCATCCGTACACTCTGCTCAATCATCATTTCACTACATGTAACGTCTGGGCCTGGTCCCCGTCTTACCGATTACAATGGGCTGAATTTTGACCGATCAATCAGCGAGCGCGTTGTAGGTCGGTGACGTCAAGAGTTTGCGCCGAACAGGCAGGTTATGGTTTGGCAGTGGCAAGTGTAATCGCTGGAAAAGATTGTGGCGCAACTCCCCACGGGCTCTGTTAGCAGCAAAGGAGATGGCTAGGCTAAATGCTAACGACTCGGGCGCACTACATACGTCACGGTAAACTCAGATCCAATCGTTTCAATCTTAAAAAAGAGTTCACCCCTCCCACCTGTAAACGCAGCTCAATGGAGCACGTCCAGACCTTAGTACAAAATGACATTTGTACTATGGTGTGGTATGTTGTGGTCAGTTTCCCAGCATCGGAGATTGTGTTGTGCAGCTGACAGATACATTTTATAGTTTCCCAGCACTAGAGATTGTATTCCCATAACTTACTGATACATTACACAAAGGCTCTCTTGTCTTCAACACAAAGGGACATTCTGCTGTCCTCTTCCCCATGGCCTTGTTCCTGTCTGCAGGTGTGCTTCTCAAACGTACCCTCGTGTTATCTCAAATGTTCCCGCAAAGAACTTCTTGTATCTGTTTCTGTCCGTCTCCCTTATCTGACCCTCTACATGACTCATCCCATCTCGCCCCCACCGCAGAGTCCGTGACGTCTGCTCATTGTTCTTTTGATTCACGCCTCTAGTATAATTATCAACATGCTGATACGGGAGGGGCAGATCGAGTCTGTGCAAAACGTCCGAGTGCGCACAGCTTCGGTCCGACACTCTCTGCAGAGAAATGTCATTTGTTTGTATTCATCACCTCTGTAAATAAATTGCACAAAGACAAGCTGTTGCTCTTCGGATTCATTCATTGAAGTATTAGAATTTCCACTACAATTTTGGTGTCAGAAGTGGTCTCGAAGGCTGATCGTTGGAACGCACGGGTCCGGCTTGGGGGCTGATCACCCGGGATTCAAATCAATCTCGTCGCTTTCCCAAAACTCTGGACGGGCGGACTGACCGGACGTGCTGGGTTTCAACCGTCGCCTCTCGGGATTTTAACACTCATCTCAAAGAACAGACGGTAAATTGTTTAATATTTGACTTTCTATGCTTCAGTGGTGAATCCGGGGGGGCGCTTGTGGTGCAGTGTGAACGCATGTGGGAGTGCCAGCTGGTGACGGAGCTGCTCATTCTAATCCAGGCTGTTGGAAATCTAAGTTCAAGTCTTAGTCTGGGGTTCAAGTCCTCAGTTGTGGCACAGGTCCAAGCCCTGTCTGAAATCTAAGTTCAATTCTTAGTCTGGGATTCAAGTCCTCGGTGTAACAGGTTAGAGTCCTGTCTGGTTGTGCAACGGGTTCAAGTCCTGTTTGCTGATAAATCCTGGGTTTGAGTCCTGGGCAGAGTTTGAGTCTCTGTTTGTGTAGATCTGAGTTCGAGTCTCAGAGTCCAGCCATGTGGCTTAGAAGAAAAGGCACAGAGTCACCAGTTTGGGACTCACCATGCATGACTTTGATGAGAAAGAAACATGGTGATGAATTTAGGACATGCGTTGAAATGTGGGTGGCTGAATTGGGCTTTCCCAAAAGTGGGTCTTTCAGTCTAAACCAGTTGGACAAAATCAAATTACAATTGGATGAAAAAGAAGCTCTACTTAAGAAAGGAAAGACTGTGCGTGTGAAGGACCTGAACTGTCTGGATGAGAACAAACGGTGGCTGAATGTATGGATGGCAGAGGCAAAGTTTAGGGACGGCAGACAGAAAAAGTCTGACTCTATGGAAAATGTAGAATATGCAACTGACTGTTCTCCATCTGTGTTTTTTTCGAGTATTCAACCACCTCGGAGCTCACATCAGTATGGACGCAGGAACTCAAGAAGCGATTGGGCACTGCTGTACCCCCCTCTCCCACCCCAATATCAACGAGACCCGGCAGCAGCAGACCCAGCAGCAGACCAAGGACCAGCATCACCGCCAGCAGCAGCCCTCCCTCCGCTGCTCCTCCCACCGCCAGAAGCCTCTGCATCAGCCCCTCCCCTCCTGTCTGGAGCAGGTCACAGAGAGACTGCTTCTTCTCCAATCCGCTCTGTGACGCATGATCTGGGTAAAATCACTCTAAATGACTATGGCATGATGCTGAGAGATGGAAAGACTTTACCAGCACCTATGATAGAATATCCAGGTCCACAGGGGACTCCAGTTCTGGTTTTGCGTCAAATGGACCAGGAGATGAAAGACTCTGTTAAAGACTGGCCTTCTCCACACAGAGGGGGAGATTCGATGGCAGACACATTTCTGGCCTTCTGCAAAGCGTGGCGTCCTACGGGCGCTGAAATTAAAAAGCTTCTCCTCCTGTATTTAAAACCGGAGGGTTTCGCCAAGATAGAGCCGGAGGTCCATCGACAGTATTATGAGACTCTGCGGGCTCAGCAGGCGGAATGGACAGACGCGAATGCATGGGAGACATATATTGCCAACATAGTGACAGCTCTCAAGCGTGCGTTCCCAGTGAAATTAGATATGGGAAAGATTAAAAACTGCTCTCAGAAGACGAGCGAGTCAGTTGGGGACTTTTATCATCGTCTTGAGGACGTCTGCGTTGCCCACTCCGGAAGTCAAAAGCCAGACAATTACACTGCCGCAGCTGAGACCACATTTGAGGTGATCTTTAAGATGGCGTTCTGCGAGGGCCTTCCCCAGCCGATCCAAGCCGCACTGAAACAGACTTTGGTTGGAGGCTGGCAAGACAATCGCATCCCAGAAATCCTCAGACACGCAAAGCATGCAGAAATAAAGAGCACTGAGGAGAACGCTGTGAAAGCTGGCGCACAGGAGAAGGCCCAACATCAAGCCAATCTCACGTTGATCAAAATGACAGGCAGACAGTTCCGTCGTGGAGGCAGAGGACGGAGAAGAGGCGGCAACGGACATTTCGAGAATAATCGTGACCACGACGACCAAGACAAATGTTTCAACTGTGGTGAAATTGGACATTGGAATCGTGACTGTCCCCAGCCACGCCGAGATGCGGGACGCTGGAGTGGACGTGGACGGGGTGCGAGACCGGGGGACCAGCCAAGATTTTCTTCAGATTGACATACTGATGTGGGACCCGAGGCAGCAACTGTACAGATGAGTAATGCACACACTCTTACACACAACACACTAACTGCTAACGGCAACGAAGACGCGCTTGCTACTGGTCACTGCTTGCCTTAATTCAGGATAGAATTAGGGAGTTAGAGGACGGTCACAGGCCCAAAACAGGGACCTACTTAGCTTATAAAAATGAAGCTTACAGGAAAATGCCAACTATTGTTTGTGAAATTGAGGGTAAACCGATCACTTTTTTAGTCGACTCCGGTGCAACCCACAGTGTAATTCAGACAAAGGAGCTCTCAATCAAATTAAGTGGCAGAAGTGTTTTTTCCACAAGTGCGAGTGGACAAACGGTACCGGAATGTTTCTCTGTTCCGATCAAATGCACTTGGGCAAACGAGCGTAACCCAGCAACAGCGAAACATTAATTTTTGATGTCTGACCTTTGTCCTGTAAACTTGTTAGGCCGTGATCTAAAGATAAAATGGGAAGTTGTGATCACATCGACAGCAGAAGGCCTTAAAATAGACAGAGGCGCGTGCGCGACTAATTTTGTCCAAGTAAACACAAACTGTCCTCTGTCTGTTTATCAATGGTGGGCTCACCCCGCCAGCGCCATTCATTTGATGGAGGCTACATCTCCATTTCTTAATCCAAAATCTGATATAATGAAAGCTGAGGACCTGCATTGTGTGTGTCATTTACACCAGGGGTTCCCAAAGTTTTTAGCCCGCGACCCCCATCATAAATGCCCTGCTAACCCGCGACCCCCCCCCCAACATCCCCTCCGTCACATGAAATGAGCATGTATTTCCTTGATACGGAGTAACTCTTTCTAGAGACTCGCGCCACTACCGAGCTGCACTGTCCAGCCCAAAAAAGGAGGCTTGCATATTTTTACTCATGTAGTGACACAGTGATGGGCTTGGTGGGCTCCCTCCTCAGCAGAAGTGGAGCGCATTTCTTGCGGCTCGCCCTCACTGTTCTCCTACCGCGGTAAAGTGGGCCGGCTTTCCGGAGTCAGCGGTAAAGAGGTCCGCACATTAAAAGCGGGCGGCCGCTTTCTGCTGTTACTTTATGCGGTTCATCCCCGCGGCTTCTCTTTCCAAAGTTACTGTCAGTAAAGGCATAAACCGGCCACCCGCTTTTAATGTGCGGACCTCTTTACCTTTGACTCCGAAAAACCGGGCCTCTTTAACGCGCTGTTCTACCGCTGTCCTCCCTCCCTCCGCTGCCCTCTCTCCCTCCTCTGCCCTCTCTCCCTCTCTTCGCACCATCAGCCTGACCCCTGATACAAGTGACTTTTCTCCCCCTCCGGGTTTTTCTGTTGTGGATATTAACCACGTTTCATTTTAAAGCAGGTATTATTTATTTGTAGCCTCCAAACACCTTTAGTTTTAGCAAACAACAGCAGGACACGCTTTGCCGCTGCGCATGATGTGAGCTGTGTTACGTGATGATTTTGATTGACGCTGCAATGACTGGGACAAAATTACTAACGTTATTAAAATATATTATAGTCTCCAAACACAATTTAACAAGTAGTCCTTTTGAATCAAATCAAATGCTAAATAAATATTTAAGGGCTTTATATTTGCTCAAAAAAAAAAAAATCTTTTTTTTTTGTTTGTGTAGAAATCATCTTGCGACCCCCCCAGGGGTTCCCGCGACCCCCCGGGGGGTCGGGACCCCCACTTTGGGAACCACTGATTTACACCATAGCCCTGATTATGAATTTGAAGAAACGTTTAAACTGGGCTCAAATGACTGCTTGATTATTGCTGACGTGTACTTTGATGATTTCAAATGTGCTGTTTCAGTAAAGTTAAGCCAGTCACAAAAACAATGCTATCGTCTTGAAAATTCAAGTCCTCATATTTCAATAGCAAAAGCAAAAACTGACGCATGGCAAACCTTAGGCCTTTTCGTGCGCAGATGCACTTTGGCAGAGGACTGGCAGGCGTGTGACCGTGGAGAAAATGTGTTTTATTCACAAACTGTTTGCGCGTATAAAATATCTCATACAAAAACAGTTGATGTGCTAAATTCAATGCTTTTGACGTCTTCAAATGATGACAATGACGGACCATATTTGACTCTGACTTCTTTGACTTCTCCGCTTGAGATTTCACCTTTGTTATCGCAAGTACCGAACAGTCTGTGGGCAAAAAGTAAACATGATGTTGGTTTGATCAAAAACTGTCCACCTGTTCGTATTGAAGCTAAATCTGATTACAGACCAAGGCAGCGTCAGTATCCTTTGAGGCAGGAGGCCATAGAAGGAATTACACCTGTTTTTGAATCATTTCTTGAGGCTGGCATTATTGTCCTATGTGAGGATTCACCGGTGCAAACCCCTATCTTTCCAGTGAAGAAAATTAGACCAGCAGATAAACCTACAGAGTGGCGTTTTGTACAAGATTTGAAGGCAGTTAATGCTGCGATCATTTCTCCTGTGCCTAATGTCCCAAATCCGCACACTCTTTTGAGTCAGATCCCGGCAGATGCAGAGTGGTTTTCAGTGGTTGACCTGTCAAATGCTTTCTTCTCTGTGCCTGTGGACAGGGATTCACAATTTCGGTTTGCCTTCTGTTTTAATGGAAAAAGATACACTTTTACCAGACTTTGTCAAGGCTTGAATTCAAGCCCCTCATTGTTTTGTGAGGCTCTGAACCACAGTCTTGCGTCTCTTGAGACGGGACTGTTTTGATTAATTATGTGGATGATTTAATGATTGCTAGCCCCACAAAAGAACAATGTGAAAAGGACACAATTAGGCTTCTCCAACACTTGGCTGATGAGGGTCACAAGGCTTCTGTTTCAAAGTTACAATTCGTCAAACAAAGTGTTGTGTTTTTAGGCCACATTATAACCCCTGAGGGAAAAACCTTGTCACAAAAGCGTGTGACGGCAATAGTTGATGCTCCAAAGCCCTCAAACAAAAAGGAACTTCATTCTTTTTTGGGAATGTGTTCATATTGCAGACATTTCACTGCCAATTTCTCAGAGATGGACAAACCTTTACGTGATATGACTGTGGGAAGGAACATGGGTGCGTCCTCTCCCCTCGTGTGGACTCCAGAGGCAGAGCAGGCCTTTACAGACTTGAAAATTGCTTTGCAATCGGCTCCAACTCTGGGGATCCCTGACCCAAATAAACCTTTTGTTCAGTTTTGTTATGTAGGTGGCTATATTTACGGTATCTCAGGAACACAACGCACACACGGCTGTTCATTTCAATGGTTTACTTCAGAACACTTCTTCTACCTGGGTTGCCCCAGTACAACTGCTGTACAGTATTTTAGTGCCACCTAGTGGTCATGGGTAGAATAAAACCAAACATACATAACATTTCCTCCCAACTAAAATATGAGGTACTTCCACAATGCCAACAAAGAATTAAGAACATTGTAATTTCTAGTACGGAAGAACTCTAATACAATTACAAATCAATAAACATCTCTTAAACCCAGATACGTTAAATTACTCAACACGGTAACGCGCTGGTGGTTTTGTTTGTCTCACTGGATAGCGTGAATGTCTAGCAGTCTCTGCAACTTTAGAAGGTTCAGCCTTGTCTGGTCCACTGGAACGAGGTGTCTGAGTGTGCTTGAAATCCCCAAGAACAGTTGGACCCTTCACGTCCATGTGAGATGCATGCGTATCGGATTGAACATTTGAAGTTGCCTCGGGAAAGTGTGTATTAAGGTGGATTGCCGAACTTGGAGGAAGGAGGACAGCAGAGCCGGCCGCGTCTGCGTGCGCCTGCTCTGTGCATGGCAATATTTGATCCACGTGTCGTTTCCACACTTTGTCAGCTCCTACCATGACCTCATATGACACTGGTCCTGTTTGTGTCATTACCAACCCTTGTGCCCACTTCTCCTCCCCTCTCCGGTAGTCCCGTACAAGGATAGACTCACCCACTGCAAAGTGTCTGGCCTTGGAGCGCTGTTGACGGCGCTGCTGCTGGGCGGCCTGAGATTGATGAACAACGCCAGTCACACTGGGTTTAAGAATGTCCAGTCGTGTGCGCAGTGTGCGCTTTGTGAACAGCATAGCGGGTGGTTCTTTTGTTGTAGCATGAGGGGTATTACGGTACGTCAACAAACATATGTCCAGACGCTGTTGAATTGGTGCGGTGCCTCTGGAGGATCTGAGGGCATGTTTGAACGTTTGCACAAATCGCTCGGCCAGGCCATTTGTAGCCGGGTGGTATGGTGCGGAGCGAACGTGCTTGACTCCATTTGCCTTCAAGAATGTGGCAAATTCCTCTGAGCTGAACTGAGGCCCATTATCACTCACTAGGATGTGAGGGACCCCGTGACGACTGAATAATAAGCCTCTCAGTACATTGATGGTCTTATTTGCAGAGGTGCAATCCATGATTTGCACATCGGGCCATTTGGAATGGGCATCCACAACCACCAGATACATATGTCCTTCAAATGGCCCAGCAAAGTCCACATGAATTCTTTCCCAAGGACCGGAGGGCCACACCCACGGGTGTAGAGGGGCAAGACTGGGCTCTTTTTGTATGCGCTGACATGAATGGCATGATTTGGCCTGGAGCTCAATCTGAGAGTCAATGCCTGGCCACCAGACATATGAACGTGCCAAACTCTTCATCCTCACTACCCCTGGGTGTGCAGTGTGTAGCTCATTGAGCACCCTGAGCCGTAGCTTGGGTGGCACCAACACTCGCACGCCCCACATGAGGCATCCCTGCTGAATTGTGAGTTCATGTCGGCGAGTCAAATAAGGTGACAATTCAGACTCTGTGTTTTTCATGTTTGGAAATTGACCAGTGCTGACCATCTCTAATACGCGAGACATTGTTGGGTCAGACCTGGTGTTATGTCTGATATCCGTTGTACTGATTGGTAATGTCTCTAACTGCGACAAATAAAACACATCTACTGTGTCCAACTTGTCCCGCTCCGTGTCAGGGAGGGGCAGCCTTGACAGTCCATCTGCATTTGTATGCGCTGCGGCTTTACGATACTCGATCGTGTAGTCATGTGCAGACAAGAGGAGTGCCCAGCGCTGCATGCGGGCTGCGGCCATTGAAGGCGTACTTTTTACTGGACTGAGAATGGAGGTCAATGGGCGATGGTCAATTAGCAGTGTGAACTTGTTGCCATAAAGGTACTGGTGAAACTTGCGTACCCCAAAAACTATCCCTAGTGCCTCACGCTCAATCTGAGCATAGTTCTGCTCAGCCCGGCTGAGCGTTTTAGATGCATAGGCAATAGGTTTCTCTACCCCATCTGGCATGACATGCGAGAGTACAGCACCTACCCCGTAAGGTGAAGCGTCACACGCTAAACGAAGGGGCAGCTCTGGGTTGTAGTGGGTCAGCACTTTTTGAGATACCATGAGTTCTTTCACTCTACGGAACGCCGCCTCACAACCAGTCGTCCACTGCCATTTCTTTCCCTTGTGCAGCAGTGCATTCAGTGGCTGCAGGATGGTTGCCAGATCTGGCATGAAACGTCCATAGTAGTTAATCATTCCGAGGAGAGAGCGTAGTTGACTTACATTGGTGGGTGCCGGTGCCTCCACAACCGCACGCTCCTTTTCTGGCAACTTGTGAAGCCCAGCAGCATCAATAGTGTGGCCTAGATACTCCACCGACTCCTGGAAGAACATGCACTTGTCCTTTCTGACATGGAGGCCGTACTCCTCCAGCCTCATGAGAACGGCGTCCAAAGCCTTCAGGTGGGTTTCCTCATCCGGCCCACTAACCAGAATATCATCCAGATAACAGTGCGTGCCTGGTAGTCCAATTAGCACTCGATCCATAGCCTTCTGGAACAATGCCGGTGCTGACGCAATCCCGAATGGCAACCGGTTATAACAGAAAAGTCCTTTTTGTGTGGAAACAGTCAGTAGCTTCCTCGACTCCTCCACTACTTCCATTTGCAAATATGCGTTGGACAAGTCCAGTTTGCTGAAGTGCTGACCTCCAGCCAGCGACGCAAAAAGATCCTCAATTCGTGGAATAGGATACTTGTCCACACAGAGCGCTTGGTTGAGGGTAACTTTGAAATCACCACATAGTCTCACTGTGCCATCCTTTTTGCTTACCGGAACCACTGGTGTAGCCCAGTCACTATGCTCCACCGGTGAGATTACCCCAAGGTCAGTGAGGCGAGTCAGTTCAGCCTCCACTTTTGACCTCAGAGCATAGGGCACATTACGTGGTGGGCAAAATTTGGAAATGCTGTCAGGTTTAAGAGTCACTCTTGCCTTAATGCCTTTCATTAACCCCAACTCATCAGAGAAAACAGCAGAATGCCGCTTAAGCACAGCATCTAAGCTGTCCTTTTTATCAGATTGTTCACCATATACAGTTTTTACATCTTTCCAGTTAAGCTTAATAGCCCTAAACCACTCTCTACCAAATAGAGGCGCTGCGTTCACCTTAACCACATACAATGGTAGCTGAGCTGTTTGCTTATTTAGCTTAACATTCACATGTATAACCCCTACAGGCAACAAAGGTTCACCAGTGAAAGTCCTAAGGACAACATCAGTAGTTTGCAAAGGCACATTTTTCATTGAACTTTTGTACTGATCCCAAGAAATTAAAGATACAGCAGCCCCTGTGTCTAATTCCATTTCCATTTTCTTACCATTTACTTTAGGAATTACAGATATACGTGAATATTTTCCCTTGCTAGATAATGCATACAGTGGCATTTCATTACCAGAATCAGATGTCGTCTCTTCACTGGTACTGTCATTGTCGCAAACCTCCACACGGTGCACTTTCCTTTTTTTATCTCTTGCGCTGTACTTGGATGTGTGGCTTTTCCCTTTTAACTCAGTTTTTCCATCCCTGTAATTCCTCTCTTTGACAGAGTCATTCTTGTATTTACTTTTGCACGTGCGCCCAATGTGGCCTTTCTTACCACACTGATAACAGTCTCTCTCCTTATACCAGCAATCATCATCAGTGTGATTTAGTTTACCGCACCGTCTACATTTGGCTTGCGGAGTTTGAGAGAGAACAGCGTTCACTTTTAACGAGCCGCTCAACTGTTGCGCATCGCGTGCCACCGTTTCAGCAGATACGGCGAACTTGACTGCTTTATTAAATGTTAAATCTTCCTCCGTCAACAGGCGCTTTTGAAAAGTTTCACTTTTCAGTCCACAGACAAACCTATCCCGTAGTGCTTCCTCCAAATAGCCACAAAACTCGCAGTGTTCGGACAGTCCTTTCAGCACTGCAACATACTGAGCGACAGATTCACCCTCCTCCTGATTCCTCTGGTGGAAACGGAACCTCTCCGCAATTACTAACGGTTTGGGGGCAAAATGTCCTTTCAACACTTTCACAATGTCATCGTAGCTATTCTCCCCCGGCTTGGCAGGAGCAATTAGACTGCGTAACAATCCATACGTCTTTGGGCCAATCACACTTAGCAGGACCGGCACTTTTTTTGCTTCATTTATCTCATTTGCCAGGACATAGTTTTCAAAACGTTCAATGTACGTTGTCCAAATCTCACCGGATTCCTCAAATGGTTCCATACCGCCAATTAGTCCCGCCATGGTGCATTTTTCTGGTTCTTTTACCCTTTCTTCCGGTTCTGATCCGCTGCTGCTCATACTTTAGCAACTCTAGTCAGAGGGCTTGCACCAACTAGCATAGCCTCGGCTGCGTGGATGACTCAACACAACTCGTAGAGAGAAAAAATAACTTTCACACAGGTACTCGATGATAAAAAATAAATTAAAAAAGGTTTCTCTTCCACACCTCGTCGCCAATTTGTGTTATGTAGGTGGCTATATTTACAGTATCTCAGGAACACAACGCACACACGGCTGTTCATTTCAATGGTTTACTTCAGAACACTTCTTCTACCTGGGTTGCCCCAGTACAACTGCTGTACAGTATTTTAGTGCCACCTAGTGGTCACGGGTAGAATAAAACCAAACATACATAACAAGTTTGTTGACGAGAGATGTGGATGCATGACATCAGTGCTTTTGCAAAAACATGGAGATCTTCTGAAACCTGTCGGTTATTTTTCAAAACTTCTTGATCCTGTGGCGAGAGGTCTCCCTGCTTGTTTAAGAGCCATAGCTGCGTGTGAAACAGCAGTATTGGCATCACGTGACTTTGTTGGGTTCTGCCAGCTTTTCTTGTTTGTTCCACATTCTGTTGCTTTGATACTACAGGAGCAGAAATCTTCACATCTTTCTGCATCTCGGTGGCTTCGATATCATACAACGCTCTTGGGATTGCCGCATGTGACTGTCCATAAGTGTTCTACGCTCAATCCTGCCACATTGTTGCCCCTCCCTGGAGAGGGCACACCACACTCATGCATGGCAGAGCTGAATCAGATCTGTACTCCAAGACCAGATCTTTCTGATACACCATTGACTAACCCTGATTTAATTCTCTATGTAGATGGATCAGCATATCGAGACCCAGACACCGGAAGGTCGCATGCTGGATACGCTGTGGTGGATGACCACTCAGTCGTGATTTCTTCCTCTCTTCCATCCATGTTCTCAGCACAAGTGGCAGAGCTAGTGGCTTTGACAGAGGCGTGTGCATTCGCATAGGGACGGTCTGTTACAATATTTACTGATTCTCGCTATGCATTTGGAGTGACGCATGATTTTGGAGCACTGTGGAAGCATAGAAACTTTCTAAAATCAGACGGAAAACCAATTTTACACCACAAACATGTCGCAGCATTATTGGAAGCTATTCTGCTCCCATCTCAGATTGCAGTGTGTAAATGTTCTGCCCACACAGCTGCAACTGACTCTGTTTCATTGGGTAATGCTAGGGCGGACAAGGCGCCGAGAGCGGCTGCTAAACAGCTTCTCCCGGCTTCCTTCTCCCTGCCCCATGCTGTCCCCCCAGAGACCCCTCCTCTTTCCCCTCCCGCCTCTCTGGAGGATCTCTGCTCACTCTCTTCCCCTGAAGAGCGGCGCACGTGGGCGGAGTCTGGTGCTGTCTTCCAAAATGGCATCTGGGTGGGCCCAGATTTGAAGCCATGTCTTCCCAAAAGATTATTTAATTGTTATGCTAAGTTAACACATGGGTTGGACCATGTGTCAAAGGGGAATATGTTCCAAACAGTCCAACAATTCTGGTTTACAAAAGGGTTTTCTACATTTGCCGCAGAGTTTTGCAGAAGCTGTTTGATCTGTGCACAGAACAACCCGGGAAAACCGAGGCCTCTGACACAGCAAGCAGCACACCCAGCACCTACAAGACCGTTTGAACATGTCATGATGGACTTTATTGAATTAACACCCAGTGAGGGGAAAAAATATTGTCTTGTGATGGTGGATATGTTTTCAAAGTGGGTTGAAGCTTTCCCTGCAAAGCATGCGTCCTCCGCTGCAGTAGCAAAAGCCATCTTAACTGAAATTCTTGTAAAATGGGGAATTCCCCAGAAATTGTCCAGCGATAATGGGTCGCATTTTGTTAATGAAGTGATAAAACAACTGTCTGATTATTTGAAATTTGATTTGAAAACTCACTGCAGCTATCACCCACAATCTGGTGGAGCTGTGGAGAGAGAAAATTTCACAATAAAATCAAAACTGGCCAAATGTTGTCAGGAAACAAAACTTAGCTGGCCAAAATGCTTGCCAACAACCTGTCCCCTTGTGAGATTTTGTTTGCAGCTCCCCCCAACGTAGGAATGGGACCTGCGGGACCTCAACCAGATGCCATCCTGTGCGAGGATGGCATGATAAGGTATTGTATAACCCTAACAAAGTCTCTTTCTGATATCAGAAGACAGGTGTCATCGGCCCTCCCCCAGCATGCGGACCATCCACTTCACAACATGCAACCCGGTGATTTCGTCCTGATAAGGAACTTCAAACCCAAAAGCTGGAATCACTATCGCTGGCTTGGCCCATTCCAAGTTCTCCTCGTCACTCACACCGCTGTGAAAGTCCAGGAGAGGCAGACCTGGGTCCACGCGTCGCACTGCAAACAAGTCCCAGCTCTTCTTGCGGAGCGTACAACGGAAGCGTAAGGAGGGGCACATCTTACCCCCTCCCAACGCGAAAGGAGGGTCACACACACACTACCCCCTCCCAACGTAAAACATTGTTAGAAATACATTGTTAGTTGCATCAGGAGAAAAGTGCTAGTAACTACACTCCTAGGTCATAGATGAACAGAAGATAGGTAACACAAAGAAGATCAACAAGTGACAATCCAAGTCCAAGATGCGCAACAACAGGGAGGACGGTCCCTGGCATCCATTCAGGCAGCAGGGCCTTTGCGGGATGAGAAAGACTTTGTGTGTGCTCATGTTCATTTCCTTCCTCATTGTGTTTCCACTGTTATGGTTTGAAGGTCGCGAGAATAAAAAGAACAATCAAACACAGGTCGTTGTCAATTACAATTCTAACACCTCTTCATTTACATCGAAACGTGTGAAGAGGGAAGATGTGACCGAATTGGATTATACGTGGTCACGTGTTCTGGCTAAGTCAATGAATCACACCAGCGTGTACACACTTAATTTGTGGTATCAATATGAAAAATTCTTAGCAGGCTCACAAAATCGCTCAAATTGTTACATTTGTACTCATATGCCTATTGCGTCATCAAACCCACACATCACACCTCTACCAATAGTTGATGCATTTACACATTTTCCAAAGATTCTGTATTCATCTGTCTCTGTTAAGTTTTTCAATGA